TACAAGTTACCAGCACTGATCTTACAAGTTACCAACACTGATCTTACAAGTTACCAGCACGGATCTTACAAGTTACCAGCACTGATCTTACAAGTTACCAACACTGATCTTACAAGTTACCAACAGTTATCTTACAAGTTACCAGCAAATATCTTACAAATTACCAGCATTTATCTTACAAGTTACCAACACCTATCTTACAAGTTACCAGCACTTATCTTACAACTTACCAACACTTATCTTACAAGTTACCCACACTTAGTTTACAAGTTACCAACACTTATCATACAAACAATTTAACCAGCACTTATTAATCAAACAAGTTACCAGCACTTATCATACAAATAAGTTACCAGCACTTATCATACAAATAAGTTACCAGCACTTATTACAAAATTCAATATCTTACAAGTTACCAACACTGATCTTACAAGTTACCAACACTTATCTTACAAGTTAACAACACTGATCTTACAAGTTACCAACACTGATCTTACAAGTTACCAACATTTATCTTACAAATTACCAACATTTATCTTACAAGTTACCAACATTTATCTTACAAGTTACCAACACCTATCTTACAAGTTACCAACACCTATCTTACAAGTTAACAACACTGATCTTACAAGTTACCAACACTGATCTTACAAGTTACCAGCACTGATCTTACAAGTTACCAACACCTATCTTACAAGTTACCAGCACGGATCTTACAAGTTACCAACACTTATCCTACAAGTTACCAACACTGATCTTACAAGTTACCAACATTTATCTTACAAATTACCAGCAAATATCTTACAAGTTACCAACACCTATCTTACAAGTTACCAACATTTATCTTACAAATTACCAACACTTCTCTTACAAGTTACCAACACTGAGCTTACAAGTTTAGCACTTATCTCAAAACTCAGTTATCTCACAAGTTACCAGCACTTATCAATTACCATCACTCACGACAACGACAACACAACCTGAACTTTAGTTAGGATCTAGTTAGTAAGCAAAATGATGATTGTCTGAATGTTGTTCTCTAAAGAAGAGATAAGACCAAATATACCTTCTATATATACATCAATACCATATTTCCATGGAATTTACCTCACTTGGTAATAAATATCGCAAGGTATTAAGACAGGATGCCGTAGAAAATTTTGCGTACTGTTGCCGTCGTTAAATCATTTAAAGCAAATATTTAGATATCCTAAACTTCCATATCCTCAATAGCATTGGCAGTATATCACTATCTGTAATAACGACTTCTTAATTTCAAAGGTTGTCATGGGTGGCATAAATGAAAACCCAATGTAAAGCAGGGTACCGTATATTTTGATGAATATGGTGTTAATAGGCTCTAAAGAATTTGAGTCTGCCGTGTGTAACCCTTTTATAAATACTAGCCGCAATATACCTCTCGAGCAGAGAGAACTTCTCTTTAGCTCAATATGTTGATTGGTATATTTCATTACTTAACCATTTTATAATCAATATGCTATATAAACTGACGTATACTGCTATAACCGTCAGTGATAGATCCTCTTCCTGATTGCATTTGATTGGACATAACGCGTACTCAATTATCTGCGAGATTTCTTTGTATTTTAAACTTTACTTGGTATTCTATAAATAGTGATACGTCACGTTCCACTACGAAATATCTGCTATGATGGACATGAATGCAATTCCAATAATCTGTTTCTAATTTTTACATTTACGTGCCTTTTTATATACATTTCTTGGTGCGTAACCACCAAGACGTGCCTATTTATCGAATTTACATACATAAATCACTAGATACATTCATGAAGGTGTTCCTGCCCACAAACTCCATTTATTTTTCTACCTAACTACCCACCTAGATATAGCTACTCAGAAAGGCATTCATCAACCTTACCTCCACCTACATACCCATGAACTCATCTACCTACCATCCACCTTTCTGCACTTTTACATACTCACGAACACTATGCAGCAAACTCAGTTACAATACTTCCTGACAACCCAACTGCATACCTAACAATCTATGTACCTACCTGTCATTCTACATTGTACCTTACTACACGACAACCTACCCACCACAAACCCCATTTAGCTGCCTACATACTACCAACAAACTCATTCACCTACCTACAATACTACCTGTCTACACAACTACATACCTAACAATCTATTTACCTACCTGCCATTCTACATTGTACCTTACTACACGACAACCTACCCACCACAAACCCCATTTAGCTGCCTACATACTACCAACAAACTCATTCACCTACCTACAATACTACCTGTCTACACAACTACATACCTAACAATCTATTTACCTACCTGCCATTCTACATTGTACCTTACTACACGACAACCTACCCACCACAAACCCCATTTAGCTGCCTACATACTACCAACAAACTCATTCACCTACCTACAATACTACCTGACTACCTGACTGCATACCTAACATTCTATTTACCTATTTAGCAACAAAATAACCCTGTTGAGTAATGCAGCAAAATAACCCTGATGTAATGTTTTCAATAAAGTAACCCTTTTGTAATGCTCTCAACACAATAACCCTGTTGTATTGCTCTTAGCAAAATGACCACGTGTGCAATGTTTGTTCCAAAATAACCCTGTTATGAAATACCTGTGACACTCTCTAATTCTGGACGTGAGTATATTAAAGCTTGTCAAAAGAGATTGGAAAACAAGTTTTGGTAGGATATCTTTCTGACAGTGACAAGATTTATCTTCAAACTAAGAAAATACCAGAAAAAAATAATCCAGAAAACTGTGTTGTGGTACAATACAAATTGTTGATGAAAACCTCTAGTTTACAAGACTTTGTGCAATAGGAGTTTTATAGTAATACATGACTTAACAAGTACTTATTGTAATGGGGACCATTACAAATGTCCCTAAACGACCCTTTCAGTAGTAAATGATCACAAAAATCAGACCTGCAGTCATGCCAAACATGAACACACTAATTTTGAATGGAAATGAGAACGTTAATTTTTAAAACATCAGAAGAGAGGAAATAGTGATGCTTTTAGTTTGCTACGCCTTTTTGCTCCGACTGCCACCTAATATATATATATATATATATATATATATATACCAATTTTCACGAAAATCGGACAATACCTAAAATTGGCCAAATTTTGACCACAGCTGACCGCTCAGATGACCGATTGGAAAAATTCAAGTGACCTGCACTCCGCCTCGCATGTATGAATATGTGTGTAAAGTTTTGTTAAAGTCCATGTAATAGTTTTTGAGAAACGCGTCGGAAACCTCCCCGGCGGAAGAAAGTAGAAGAAATAAGAATAATATAAATAATAATAATAAGAAGAAGAAGAAACAGAGCAAACACAATATGTCCCCCTACTTCGTTTAGGGGACATAATAAAAACACTGATACTATTACTTTTTAGACTTTTGAAAAAAATATTTAAATAGATCAAATTAACACAAACTTTCTTAAATAACGAGGTCAATCATCTGCAATATCTATGCTGCCTTATCCGTTAAAAAATCACAAAACTCGATTATATCTCATTTCTGTTTTTATTATGCAACTTGTTATTGAAAATGATGAATACTGTATAGTTTGTATCACAGATGAATTGGTTGTCTTCACAAAAAATATTGGCTGAAACAAAATTAAAATCGTGATTACCGATATCATGGATGGAGATTCTTAGCAGTAATATATATCAAATTTGATAAACAAACCCATAATTCAAATTCAAAATTATGAACACGAATTGGGAATTTCCAGTTCATACTTTTACTAGTAGCATACATGAGTACGATATATTTTAACCCTGTGGTTTTTTTCATGCCGCATATTTACACAAACCTAAAAAATAGCCTTCGATTTAAAAGTCTTGGTTTCAATTTCATATTTTTTTTGTAATTTCAGGTCCTTCAAGTACGTTATATTTTAGGTAAAATAAATGTTTTCCAATGAATCAATTCAAACATAATTTGGTGTTATCTTTAACAGCTTGAGGGACAACGTATATTTGTGTAAAAGAGTCCCGTGGGCCTGTGATATGACATATCTGGACATGGAAGATATAACAAAACACTAAAAAATGCTTTAAAAATATAATAATATTCTGATATACAGCAAACTTTAATATCACAGGAGAACAAAAAATTAATGTCAACACTAAAATAATGTAGAATAATGTAAAAACAAGTTATAGAAATATATATATATTATTACATATTATGTACTCTATCATTCCTTCATATTAAATATACCGGTAACTTCTACATTGTATAATAAAATCAATAATTGATGTTGAATTTTTTAATCAATAAATAAAAGCAGGAAATGGATTGTACCACGTCATTCATACCTGCACCAAACGCAATTGTTTCATCATTGTTGCGAAATGAATAACGTTTATTTTAGCATATCAAAAAACGACTTTAAATATTATGATTTTCTAATTAAAAATAAAAAAATAATCGAGTTTTGTATGAAAAATGCAGAATATATTATATTTATCAGATCCAATAATACACTGACACACATCCAATATTTCCACTTGATTTGGAAATATCTTGATATCCAATCTTACTGGCGGTTTTTGTCTGTTCTAGTCCATTCTGGTCACTCTACTGATGACCACTAAATGGCGTCATTGTACGTACGTCACTCATTGGAGTAACAAAGCCATTCCTGTAGTACCTCTCGCAATACCTTCTGAGGTTGTTTGGGTTGGATGTTTGTTTCTTCAAACCAGTCTATCCCCTGACCTGTCCTTAGCGCATGCTCGCCTACATCAAAGATATTGGATGTAAAATTGCCTCTCTCCTTGTCGATACTATTTTTCTTTGAACAACATCATTTTTTTTTCTTTTGACAGAACTACTGGATAGAAGTGTCACAAATGTACTTATTCAAACAAATGCTTGAAGTATATACAACTAATGTACTTTACCTACGAGCGAGGAACAGTTTACATTTGAGTTCATTATACTTGGTAAATCAGTTTGGAGGTTTTGGAGGAGAACACATATCTGTGAAGAGATAAATAAGAACATGCTAGATTTCTAAATAAAAATGGATATTTCGAGCAATGCAAGTTTAGTTAGTATATATTGAAAGTATGTTGAATATGTTTGTTGAAATGTCAGACCGATGAAAATAATTGTGTGTTTGACAACTAACGTATAATACAGCAGATTCGAAGGAAACACTGTCTCATGTAGCTTTATTCATTTTTTTCATATACAATGTACTTTATCTTTAATTCGTTTGCCTTTCACAATGTTCCTTTTTTCATCTTTTGTACAATCTTTTCATCACGAGAACATTAAGATAAGGAACACGATATCTTACAGTACATGTTAAAAGTCATTATAAACCAACGTACCTGATGAAAATTAAAGTTGTCAATGCCATCAAGACGATCGACACCAGTCCAATGAGAATAATCATATATATGTTCAAATCTGCAAATGGCCGGTCTATTTGAATTTCTGAAACAAAACAATGATTATAGTAATGAATTAACAAACAGGTTATTTTTAAAATCTCCAAAGTATGCAAAACACATATGTATACATGCTCAAGTACAAACGGTATTAATTCAAAAAATACATTCGAGTGTCTTCTCCTTGAACTTATTCAGTCTCCATGTAAATCTTCATATGTTCATATTTTGCCTTAGTACAAACGATTTTGAGTTTATATTATTATGTTGACATGCTGGCATTTTTCTGGGTTTTTTTTTCATTATTATCATTTTTGGATGATTAATATGTATATTAGCTTCAAGGTATTATGATAAATGTTTAGCATTATGTTTTTAAAACAACATATATGTTTTGACAAATTTCCACGCTGGAACATCTAATTACATGTGTTAATCATATTTGACAATCTAAAACATTTCTCTGTTTATCAAAATCAAACAATATGAGTCTAACTAACCTGATTCTGTCTCAGTAGTGGTTCGTGTCTTCACACTAGATGTCACTAACGTTGTCTGGGGTGAGGTCTCTCTGACAGTAGTCAGTTCAGCTGTTCTATCTGTGGTCGTGTTTGTTGTCCGAGATATCGTTCTTGTGGTTGTCTTCTCTACCGGTGACGTCATTGTTGTTGTATGGAGTGTATGGTTAGAACAGTCACTACCGTTGATATAGGAGGGACCTGTGAGGAACCATTTAATGTCAAAGATCATACCAATGTTCTGCATAACAAAAAGTAAGAATATATATTGTCAATTCTGAAAGCATCGTTCATATATCCATATTTACGGAATAGACAATAAAAAGATAGAGAAAGTCAATTAAACACAACTTTAACTTCCTCACTAGGTTTTATAATTTCAGAAGGTTGTACGAAACATATTTTAAAAGTAGTTTTCGGTCAGGAATCATCCTTTCACAGCGAAGATGGTTATTTCACCACTTTTGTTGTGTGATAAATCTCAACGTTTTGTTCAAAGCTGTACTTCTATCTTATATCAACACTTACTAACGCAGTAAGAACATGGACAGCTTGATGCACTTTGGAGGTAATACACTCTGTATGAGCAGCAATTTTTCACCTGAATAGTGAATGAATTGTGACATGAAGAGAAGACGGACTTCGTACAAACTTTTCTGTCTACAATCCCCTCAGCAATGTCAGGAATCTCGCCTGGGTTAAAAAGACATTGTTCATTTTTGAAATGACAAAGATTGTATCGTCTTGAAGTAATTTTACTAAAGAGTAAAATTTACATTCGTCATTTTGTATAAATAAAGTAAAACCAAATAGTATAGAGTTGTAAGAATCGACAAGTTGTAATATTATCAATGATTAGCTCTCAATAACGAAGGATCTATTATTATAACTGCACTCGCATGAACTTTAATTTTTGATGTTGTTGGATTACTTTTATATCAACTGTGTCATCAACAAATCAAAGTCGTAAATATATATTACAAAGAAAAACAGATGGCTGACGATAATACTGACCATCCATCCAGAGAGGGTAGAAGGTACCACAGCCGTTGGATTTCACAGCGTTTATGTCAGTAGTCAGGTCACCATCAGCTTCCCCGACAAATCGGTACCAATTCTCACGAACTAGAACGTCACAGAGACCTTCTTCGTACACATCTTCTATGTGGCCTGGTGATCGTCTATAATCCACTTGGAACTCCTCGTAGGAAAGGCACGGATCTTGAGGGAAATCAAGAGAAATTATCACCAGAATATCAACCACAAAATCGTTACAGAAATATTGGAACACATACTGTACACCTGGTCTTACTATCCCTGAATATGTTTGCAGAAGTCTCAGTGTAAATCTTTCTTGTGTTCATATTTTGACCTAGTTTTATGCAGTTTGAATTTAACTGATGATAATGTTAACATCATGGTATTTTCTCGTTCTTTTTAAAATGAAAATATTTAGCATTTCAACAGTGTGTGTCTGTTACAGAAAAAAAACCATACAGGTTGATATAATATTTCAATACAAACTTAGAATTAGATGCAGCAGACACAGAAAATGAATTAACTGCATTATACTGCTGTTTCATCCTTCTGGCACTAGTCAGTGGTGCTGAGAGCCTTATTTCATTAACCTAGAAAGTGACTGAGTAAAATAAAGATGTTTGAAAATGCCAAATAACATGGTTATTTCCAACCTGTCATAAAACTTATACTCTCCAATTATGTAAAATTACGATATCAACATTGTGTTCCTACAAGAAAATCTTTTGGGGAATAATTTGTTACGATTGTGAAGTATTTCCAAACCCTTATTAATGACATTATACCAAAGTGAAATGAACTGACCGAAAGCTGCCTCGGTAGTGGTTCGTGTCTTCACACTAGATGTCACTAACGTTGTCTGGGGTGATGTTTCTCTGACAGTAGTCAGTTCAGCAGTTCTATCTGTGGTCGTGTTTGTAGTCCGAGATATCGTTCTGGTGGTTGTCTTCTCTACCGGTGACGTCACTGTTGTTGTATGGAGTGTATGGTTAGAACAGTCACTACCGTTGACATGGGACGGACCTGTGAGAAACCATTTATTGCCATATAAATCACAAATAGATTGCATTACATACCTTGAAGCCATACTCATACAAAAGAATATGAGATTTTAGGTGGCTAATTTGTATAAACCACGAAAACAATCTGTTAGTTTTATAAATTAACAGAATGGACAATTCCGCCACTGATGGGAAATGCTAGCAACAGCGTACGGGGATTGATTTTAATTTCATAGTGCTACCTAAACATACAAGTATTGAAATTGATGGCAACAGATCTTCACCGTTAAAAACAGCCTGTTTTTGGCATCTGAGCAAAGCTTCTAGGCGAAAATGAAACAATATTCTGCAACCAAACGGACGTTTCATTTATAAGCTTTTCTTCGTATGTAGTCTATGAAAACAACACTTACTAACGCAGTAGGAAGATGGACAGGCTGATGCACTTTGGAGGTAATACACGATGTACGTACAGCAGTTCTTCACCTGAATAGTGAATGACGTGTGACACGAAGAAAAGACGGACTTCATACAAACTTTTCTGTCTACAATCCCCTCAGTGACTTCAGGAATCTGACCTGTATTAAAAGTTGTCAATTCTAGTATATACAGTTTGGATTTCTGTCCCGTTTTAAGGCATTATCATTAAATACAACGTTGAGGTAGTAATCTTGACTAGACATCATTTTTGTGATAACCGCTTCGATTACGAAACAGATGTTTACATTTTTTGTTCAATATATTGTTATTCTTTATGAATGCCAATTAAACAAGGAATAGTTATATAACCACATTATATTAAGTAAGGTTTTTTTTATTCAGATATTCTATCACAATCATACCATCCATCCAGAGTGGGTAGAAGGTACCACAGCCGTTTGATTTCACAGCGTTTATGTCATTAGTCAGGTCACCATCAGCTTCCCCGACAAATCGGTACCAATTCTCACGGACTAGAACGTCACAGAGACCTTCTTCGTACACATCTTCTATGTGGCCTGGTGATCGTCTATAATCCACTTGGAACTCCTCGTAGGAAAGGCACGGATCTTGAGGGAAATCAAGAGAAATTATCGACGCGATTTTCTATCACCAGAATATCAACCACAAAATCGTTACAGAAATATTGGAACATATACTGTTCACCTGGTCTTATCATCCCTGAATATGTTTGCTGAAGTCTTTCTTGAAAATCTTGTAAATAACTTATTTTTACATATTTCTATATAACAAGGTGTCATAATTATTGTTTACTGATTGCTGCTTTCTGTGTACATAATTATACAAGATAATTGTATACTGCCTATTATGAATAATAATTACTTACTGGGCGATATACGTAATTATTGTTTGCTGTTTTATATATATATAAATGTAATACAGCCTGCTATATATAATGATGTGTGACTGCCAGTTATACAAGATAATTTTTTACTACTTGTTATAAATAATAATAACAAACTGGCCGCTATTCATATTAATTGTTTCCTGCTTGCTGTATTTGATATTTGACAGCATGTTATACATCATAATTGTTAACTGTCATGTAAACAAGAAAATTGTTTACTGTCTGTAATAAATAAAAATAACTTAATGATATATACACTAATAATATACTGCCTTATATATACAATGATGTTTTACTGCCTGCTGTATATAGTACTTGTTTACTGCACTTGATACAAGGAATGGTTTACTGTCTGCTGTATATAATAAAGGTTTACAGACTGCTGTATATAATAATGGTTTACTGTCTGCTGTATATAATAATGGTTTACTGTCTGCTGTATATAACAACTGTTTACTGTCTGCTGTATATAATAATGGTTTACAGACTGCTGTATATAATAATGGTTTACTGCCTGCTGTATGTAACAATTGTTTACTGTCTGCTGTATATAATAATGGTTTATAGACTGCTGTATATAATAATGGTTTACTGCCTGCTGTATATAATAAAGGTTTACAGACTGCTGTATATAATAAAGGTTTACAGCCTGCTGTATATAACAATTGTTTACTGTCTGCTGTATATAATAAAGGTTTACAGACTGTTGTATATAATAAAGGTTTACTGTCTGCTGTATATAATAATGGTTTACTGTCTGCTGTATATAATAAAGGTTTATGTATATAATAATGGTTTACTGTCTGCTGTATTTAACAATACTGTCTGCTGTATATAATAAAGGTTTACAGACTGTTGTATATAATAAAGGTTTACTGTCTGCTGTATATAATAATGGTTTACTGTCTGCTGTATATAGCAATTGTTTACTGCCTGCTGTATATAATAATGGTTTACTGTCTGCTGTATATAATAATGGTTTACTGTCTGCTGTATATAATAATGGTTTACTGTCTGCTGTATATAATAATGGTATACTGCCTGCTGTATATAATAATGGTTTACTGCCTTCGGTATATAATAAATGTTTTGTTTCTGCCGTATATAATAATTGTTTACCATGTTCAACATCTACAAGACAATTATACTAAAGTACGCAGATATGATAAAGGTTGTTTGTTTATAAAATGAAGACGAACTTAGTAGTCTTACTGTGTAGTCTTATAAAAAAGGGATTGTCATGTTTCTTGCTAGATACATTTGTATTACATTTCGTACGGTTATAGGTGAGTACAATGTTAACAGAGGACACTAAGTTGTAGACAACAAAGCTAGTAGGTAGTGTGAGCAGACAATTGTAATATAACAGTAGGCAATAAGCGGTAGTCAAGACATATCTTATGTGAAATTCCTTAATTATTTATTAAAAATGTAAATTTGAATTCTAAAAGTTCACGTAATCACCCTTGTATCACTTACTGACTTGAGATATGTACGTAAACCATAGCTATATCTATGTAGATATTCTAACATATAGACGCTGTTATATCAGAATTAATTTACCTAACCAAACATTATCTTACCTGCTGTTATCAGATGGGATTCTGTGAACAAACAGATAATACAATACCACACAGTGAGTCCAGGTTTCATCCTGCACCCAATGCAAATCTTACATATGATATTTACTTCCTGTTTAACCGTGTTTACAACGACGGACAGAAATAGATCCAGCAGTCATCCCAGTTAATATCTAATGAAAATGCGCCTGTACATCTGAGCCGATCTATTCTATACGTTGGGTGGGGTAATTCTAAGTGCGGCTTAATAACTAACCTAGTGACAGGTAAACAAAGTCATATCGAGTCTGTGTTGTATTGAATAGAAAAACATGATAAACATGAGGATTGATGTTGGTGGTTGATTACTTCACATCTATCTCTCACACAGTTGACCAGATTTACACTAAAACTCACATAGCTACTCGAAGCGATAAATCCCTTTCACTCACATCGATTTCTCACACAGTTGACCATATTTATATTGTGTAGCTCACATGACTACTCCCAGCGATAATTCACTGTCACTCCAATCAATAACTCACATGATCACTTACATCACAATATTCTATGGTCATTCACAATAACAACATTAATAGCCACTCATTACAATAACTTACATAGCAACGCATATCGTAACTCACATGGTTACTCACATCTGTAACTCATATAGTAACTCAAATTGTAACTCACATTGTCACACACACCAATAACTCACATTGTCACACAAATCAATAACTCACATTGTCACACACATCAATAGCTCACATTGTCACACACAACAATAACTCACATTATCACACTCCTCAATAACTCACATTATCACACACAACAATAACTCACATTATCACACTCCTCAATAACTCACATTATCACACACATCAATAACTCACATTGTCACACACATCAATAACTCACATTGTCACACATATCAATGACTAACATTGTCACACACATCAATAACTCACATTGTCACACACATCAATGACTCACATTGTCACACACATCAATACCTCACATTGTCACACACTTCAATAACTCACATAGTCATACACATCAATAACTCACATTGTCACACACATCAATACCTCACATTGCCACACACATCAATGACTAACATTGTCACACATATCAATAACTCACATTATCACACACATCAATAACTCACATTGTCACACACATCAATAACTCACATTGTCACACACATCAATAACTCACATTGTCACACACATTAATAACTCACATAGTCACACACATCAATAACTCACATTGTCACACACTTCAATAACTCACATAGTCACACACATTAATAACTCACATTGTCACACACATCAATACTTCACATTGTCACACACATCAATAGCTTCAATGGTCTCTCACTAACTCACATGTCCACACAATATTGATAACTTGCTTGAATGATCACGGCGATAACTAACATGGTCATCTAAATCGATAATTGATAATGTCGCTCAAATCGATTACTACCATCGTCATGGTCACCCAAATGGATAATTTTACCTGGCGATAACTCACGTGGGTACTCAAATCAATAGTTCACATTATCACTCACAATATTAGTCATTGCGTATCACAACGAGAACTCAATGTCATTCTCAAGGATAGTTAAATGATATCGATAATTCATCAATTGTCACGCTATCAAATCGTGCGATAATACGACATAGTTCTACGACAAAGCGAAATGGCCGAAATCAGCAACCATGATACCAGTTAGTTTACTTCCTGCTTGTGTGTATGTATATATACACAGCTATCAGGTGCCGAGCTTATTGTGTGCCACCAGACGAAATATAACACATTATACTCTTTGATAAAGGCGTGAAGAATCGTTTCATTTAAGAAATCATCGAAACAAGTTGGTTTAGCCATTTTCTATTAATCAAGTCGTCAGTAGTTACAAGTATACTTTTTTGTCATGTGACTTCATCAGAGAGAGGCGAAGGACTAAGATCGTCATTGATATACCCTGACAAACCATTGTAATTATAGATATACAAATGCCTTATAGACACTATACACACCTACTCAGCGGTAAAGCAGAATGATAGGGTGCGGGATTTTACTATCGGGACTTTTCTCTGTTGTTTTGGCAGGTAAGGGTGCAATGTCATTTTTATCCATTACAGATGTCTATTAAAACCTTTTGATGCTTCATGCTTCATTACCATAGGAACAAAAAATACGTACAGACTGTGATTGAATTGACAGCAGATCATTGAAAAAACAATATAACAACAATTTAGATATACATATATTGTTGTATTGTACGATATTGTATATGTTATCTCATCTGACCAGAAGGGTCAAGATGAAATATGTTTCGTTATTCGTTGTCCGTACTCCGCCGTCCGTAAATTTCCGTAACTCTTCACCATATTTCAACCATACTTCATCTGCAATATTGACTGGGATGGACAATAATTTTTTAAAGGGACTAAATTGTTAGTTTTCGTTATTTTTTCCCATTCGTTTGATTTCGGGCAAGTGTTTTATTTGTTATGACTTCCAAACTTTCCCGTGTCGCGCAAGTGCAAACACACTATTAACACTCTGAATGATATGAATTAGTTTTGGGTCGCTCCTAGTGTATTATCATTATTTTTACTTTTATGATAAAATGGTTGTGCAAACTATTTGAATATTATGATTAAAAGAAAGTGCACAAATTATGAAATCTTACCATTTAGTCCCTTCGAATTCAAAAGGTTGGTTTTGCCAACTGGGAACTAAGCTGAAATAAATATTGCTTTAAAACGGTATACATCCCTTACACTTGAGCGGAATTCAACCAAACTTGGTCTCTCTCCTTCTCTCTCTCTATCTATCTCTCTTTCTCTCTCTCTCTCTCTCTCTCTCTCTCTCTCTCTCTCTCTCTCTCTCTCTCTCTCTCTCTCTCTCTCTCTCTCTCTCTCTCTCTCTCTCTCTCTCTCTCTCTCTCTCTCTCTCTCTCTCTCTCTCTCTCTCTCTCTCTCTCTCTCTCTCTCTCTCTATATATATATATCCTTAACATCTGCATTTCTGTGTGGTAATATGTAGCAATGTGTATATTACAAATCTCTAACTCATTTTTGTCAATTTCATCAAATGTCTATTGTTTAATGAATTTGTGTTTTGGAAGAAGTCCTTTATAAATTGGAAAAAGATATGCTGACTCATCCCTTTGTAGACATTTGCCAATACAAACTGTTTGAACTAAAAGAGAGGAATAAAAGATTTTACTGGTATTTTGTATCAGTTATTAAAGGGATATCAAATTTGTTTGGTAATCTGTTGTATTTTATCAGTTGTAAGAGTGATATAAGAATTTATATGTAATCTCATGTTGTATTTTATCAGTTGTTAGAGTGATATAAGAATTTATAGGTAATCTCATGTTGTATTTTATCAGTTGTTAGAGTGATATAAGAATTTATAGGTAATCTCATGTTGTATTTTATCAGTTGTTAGAGTGATATAAGAATTTAGAGGTAATCTCATGTTGTATTTTATCAGTTGTTAGAGTGATATACGAATTTATAGGTAATCTCATATTGTATTTTATCAGTTGTTAGAGTTATATAAGAATTTATAGGTAATCTCATGTTGTATTTTATCAGTTGTTAGAGTGATATACGAATTTATAGGTAATCTCATGTTGTATTTTATCAGTTGTTAGAGTGATATACGAATTTATAGGTAATCTCATTTTGTATTTTATCAGTTGTTAGAGTGATATACGAATTTATAGGTAATCTCATGTTGTATTTTATCAGTTGTTAGAGTGATATACGAATTTATAGGTAATCTCATATTGTATTTTATCAGTTGTTAGAGTGATATAAAAATTTATAGGTAATCTCATATTGTATTTTATCAGTTGTTAGAGTTATATAAGAATTTATAGGTAATCTCATGTTGTATTTTATCAGTTGTTAGAGTGATATACGAATTTATAGGTAATCTCATATTGTATTTTATTAGTTGTTGGAGTGATATACGAATTTATAGGTAATCTCATATTGTATTTTATCAGTTGTTGGAGTGATATACGAATTTATAGGTAATCTCATATTGTATTTTATTAGTTGTTGGAGTGATCAGTTGTTAGAGTTATATACAAATTTATAGGTAATCTCATGTTGTATTTTATTAGTTGTTGGAGTGATCAGTTGTTAGAGTGATATACGAATTTATAGGTAATCTCATATTGTATTTTATCAGTTGTTGGAGTGATATACGAATTTATAGGTAATCTCATATTGTATTTTATTAGTTGTTGGAGTGATCAGTTGTTAGAGTTATATACGAATTTATAGTTAATCTCATGTTGTTTTTTATTAGTTGTTGGAGTGATCAGTTGTTAGAGTGATATACGAATTTATAGGTAATCTCATATTGTATTTTATCAGTTGTTGGAGTGATATACGAATTTATAGGTAATCTCATATTGTATTTTATTAGTTGTTGGAGTGATCAGTTGTTAGAGTGATATACGAATTTATAGGTAATCTCATATTGTATTTTATCAGTTGTTAGAGTTATATAAGAATTTATAGGTAATCTCATGTTGTATTTTATCAGTTGTTAGAGTGATATACGAATTTATAGGTAATCTCATATTGTATTTTATCAGTTGTTGGAGTGATATACGAATTTATAGGTAATCTCATATTGTATTTTATTAGTTGTTGGAGTGATCAGTTGTTAGAGTGATATACGAATTTATAGGTAATCTCATATTGTATTCTATCAGTTGTTGGAGTGATATACGAATTTATAGGTAATCTCATATTGTATTTTATCAGTTGTTAGAGTGATATAAAAATTTATAGGTAATCTCATATTGTATTTTATCAGTTGTTAGAGTAATATAAGAATTTATAGGTAATCTCATGTTGTATTTTATCAGTTGTTAGAGTGATATACGAATTTATAGGTAATCTCATGTTGTATTCTATCAGTTGTTAGAGTGATATACGAATTTATAGGTAATCTCATATTGTATTTTATCAGTTGTTAGAGTTATATAAGAATTTAAAGGTAATCTCATGTTGTATTTTATTAGTTGTTGGAGTGATCAGTTGTTAGAGTTATATAAGAATTTATAGGTAATCTCATGTTGTATTTTATCAGTTGTTAGAGTGCTATACGAATTTATAGGTAATCTCATGTTGTATTTTATCAGTTGTTAGAGTTATATAAGAATTTATAGGTAATCTCATGTTGTATTTTATCAGTTGTTAAAGTTATATAAGAATTTATAGGTAATCTCATGTTGTATTTTATCAGATGTTAGAGTGATATACGAATTTATAGGTAATCTCATATTGTATTTTATCAGTTGTTGGAGTGATATACGAATTTTAGGTAATCTCATATTGCATTTTATTAGTTGTTGGAGTGATCAGTTGTTAGAGTTATATACGAATTTATAGGTAATCTCATGTTGTATTTTATCAGTTGTTAGAGTGATATACGAATTTATAGGTAATCTCATGTTGTATTTTATCAGTTGTTAGAGTGATATACGAATTTATAGGTAATCTCATATTGTATTCTATCAGTTGTTAGAGTGATATACGAATTTATAGGTAATCTCATGTTGTATTTTATCAGTTGTTAGAGTGATATACGAATTTATAGGTAATCTCATGTTGTATTTTATCAGTTGTTAGAGTTATATAAGAATTTATAGGTAATCTCATGTTGTATTCTATCAGTTGTTAGAGTGATATACGAATTTATAGGTAATCTCATATTGTATTTTATCAGTTGTTAGAGTGATATAAAAATTTATAGGTAATCTCATATTGTATTTTATCAGTTGTTAGAGTTATATAAGAATTTATAGGTAATCTCATGTTGTATTTTATCAGTTGTTAGAGTGATATACGAATTCATAGGTAATCTCATATTGTATTTTATTAGTTGTTGGAGTGATCAGTTGTTAGAGTTATATACGAATTTATAGGTAATCTCATGTTGTATTTTATCAGTTGTTAGAGTTATATAAGAATTTATAGGTAATCTCATGTTGTATTTTATTAGTTGTTGGAGTGATCAGTTGTTAGAGTTATATACGAATTTATAGGTAATCTCATGTTGTATTTTATCAGTTGTTAGAGTGATATACGAATTTATAGGTAATCTCATATTGTATTTTATCAGTTGTTAGAGTAATATAAGAATTTATAGGTAATCTCATGTTGTATTTTATCAGTTGTTAGAGTGATATACGAATTTATAGGTAATCTCATGTTGTATTTTATCAGTTGTTAGAGTGATATACGAATTTATAGGTAATCTCATATTGTATTTTATCAGTTGTTAGAGTTATATAAGAATTTATAGGTAATCTCATGTTGTATTTTATCAGTTGTTAGAGTGATATACGAATTTATAGGTAATCTCATGTTGTATTCTATCAGTTGTTAGAGTGATATACGAATTTATAGGTAATCTCATGTTGTATTTTATCAGTTGTTAGAGTGATATACGAATTTATAGGTAATCTCATATTGTATTTTATCAGTTGTTAGAGTGATATACGAATTTATAGGTAATCTCATGTTGTATTTTATCAGTTGTTAGAGTGATATACGAATTTATAGGTAATCTCATATTGTATTTTATCAGTTGTTGGAGTGATATACGAATTTACAGGTAATCTCATATTGTATTTTCTTAGTTGTTGGAGTGATCAGTTGTTAGAGTTATATACGAATTTATA